GTGTGTGTGGGTGTGTGTGTGCTACTCGCTCATTGAGCCACTGGGATTATTTTAGAGATACATCAAAACACTCAAAGAAATCCACCGAAATGGATTAAAGAAGATGCAAATGTGAAGATATTGACACACATGTTCGCTTGCATCTTGAAAGCATTATTTTTATACAGTATATTAGCTTTAGAAATTAATTTTAATGAGGTAAAAAAAAAAACAGAAGGAGAATCCCTGAAAAGAGCCAAATTAGAGTAGAGGTTAAAAAAGCTGTAAAAAACACACACAAAAAAGTGCCGCCTATAAAAACAGGACCCCTGCTGTAATTTGACTTCAAACACACACAAAGACACACACACTCCCCCCCAACATCTGCTGATCTTGAGCTACATTTTATAACTGATCTGATTTTTCTCAGCGCTCAGAACAGCCACAGAAAGCCACTAATCTTTTTTTGTTGTTAGTCAAAAGAGTGTAGCGCATACTTAGTCATCCTCTTTGTCATTTTGTTAAAAGGGCTTTATATAGCTCCCTCATTAGCGCCTGTCTGTCTGTCTGTCTTTCTTGTGTGTGTTCGTATATGCATGCATAAAGAGAAGGGACGGCTAATTAGTACGTTAAAACAGATGGTTGGAGCCTTGGTCATTAAAAAGCAGCTTTATGAGCGTACTGATATATATAGCACTCAAATGTACAACCAATGTGTCCTCTGATATAGTCTAGTAATGTTTTTATTCTCGTACATCGATAGAGCAAACATCAATAAGACAAGGAAACAAATTATCTATACAGAAAACATTAGTGTGAGTGGTGTGTAGTTTTTAAAGGTCAAAGAGATAAAAAATTAATCAACAGTTTTGATAATCACTGAACACAATATCAGTATAAGATGAGGATTTGAGTGGGCCGTCAATGTTTCTACTGGAAGCATTTTGTGAGAGTGTGAAACTGAAGACAGTATAAGACAAATACAAATTCAGTGACAGGACTTTTTAGAGTTGGTACAGTAACTGGATTCACAAAAGTGTAGACTAGCTGTCAAATTAATTGTCCCTCGTGCCAGGTAGAAACAAAGTCTCATCAGTAAAAGATCAGAATCAGAGTCAGATTTATTAGGAATTGAACTCCAGTTTGATGTTGCTCTCAATGTACTTACAGCTTCAAGAACAGTTTACATGAAGATAGAAATACACAGTTAAAAACAAGGACAACAAAGCTGATAAAAGATAGGTTAAAACTACGGGGTCATCCCTATGTTCCCCGGGTCCTATGTTCCCCGCTAAGGTTAGGGTTAAGGTTAGGGTTGGGGTTAGGACCCGGGGAACATAGGTACACTCCCAAAACTACTAATACAATAAGCTAAAAAATAGGTTTAAGGTGTGAGATCCCTGTCACAGCACAGTAATTTAGCAAGATAGCCTACACTTAAAAGGCTACACGTAAAGTGCACAGTAAGAAAGAGAAAACAGTTAGCTCAACAGTAAATTATCAGTTGCTTCAGAATGTTAGCAACACATTAGCTTCAGTCAGCTAGTATAGTGGCTATAGCTTGGTTAGCAGGCAAACTAACAAATCACAAATCACAAAGCAGCTACAACTGAAGAAGACAATACTCCAACAATGACATTTGAGGAATAGATATGAAGATTTGTGTCCATATTTGCTGTGTCACACATTTAACAAAATGGTGGATGTGAGAATGTCAGTTAAACTGAACTAACTACGGAACTCTGCCAGCAGTGGTTGCCCCTAGCAACAGAATGTTCAACTGAAACCAACTGCTCGGGACAGAATACTGAACTGAATATCTTTATGACTGTTGGTCGGACACTGAAATGCTGTAGACTAAAAGATTTATTTAAATAAACCTCTGATTAATCAATAATGACAATAATTGTTGGTTGCAGTCCTAGTTAGAGCAGTCACCCTTTAAAAAAAAAAGAAAAACGCACATTTTACTTGACAAAAAACCCTACACAATTCACAGATTGTCAAATGGAAACACTTCAGACACCTCTGAAAACCATTGTGCCTGTATATGGATTTTAAATGCTGTTGTTTCAGTGTTGAAATATTACATTTTACATGTGAAAACATGAATTTCATATGTGTTCTTTATAAGGGCAGTCACTGGTTACAAGTACAACAGCATATGGTTTCTTTGTTGCAAAAAGTCCCTAAAGGATTCCTAATTTTGTAAACATTAGGTTCTTGAGTCAAACTCTCTGCGATGTAATCTAATCTGATCCCAG